AAGATTGTAAAATGTTAGTTTGATAGTAAAGTTGCAAAATACAAAAAAAAAATAATAATAAAATAAAATAAAAAATAAAAAATAAATTGTTAATAACGTTAAATTAACAAATAAAGGGATCTGCTCTGTCAATTCAAACTCCTGACATTTCTTTCATCACACCCGAAGGTGACTACAAGACCAATAAGCCAAAACCCAAGGTTGGTTGTAGTTTGTGTTATGTCAATTTAATTTATGTAATTTCAATTGTAATTAATTCTGCCTTTACACATAACTTTCCATATACATTGCATGAAAAAAAATATGGGTATTAGAATTTAGATGTGATTTTGGTTCCGATTACATGACAGACATATATATCAATTAAACCATGGTTGTAGTTTTTTTTTTTTTTTTTGGTTTTTTTGTCAAGATTGTAAAATGTTAGTTTGATAGTAAAGTTGCAAAATACAAAAAAAAAAAATTAATAAAGTTAAATTAACAAATAAAGGGATCTGTTCTATCAATTCAAACTCTTGACATTTCTTTCACCACACCCTAAGGTGACTCGTAGTTTGTGTTATGTCAATTTAGTTTATGTAATTTCAATTGTAATTAATTTTGCCTTTACATATGTGAATTTTTTCTTTTGGGTTTAATTAGTTAAATTGATAGAGTCCTTTAGTAGTTTTGACAGAAAATAAACACTTGCTCCTCATGTTGCCATTTTGCATGGACAAGTTGAAAACTAAATAAAAAATAAAAGCATATATTCAGGTCAAATTAGACCTAATAATGTGGTATATCCTATTAAAATATTTAAGTAAACTCTTTCTCTTATTTATTATGTAATCATCAACTAATCATGTCGTTGGCATATCACTAGATCTAAAATTTGGTTTACAAAATGGGTTTATATATCATTTTCTAAAAAATAATTATATTGGGTGATACTTAAATAGAATCGGCCAATTTAGCACAATATGTTCAATTAAGAGGTAAATTTGTAACAATTAAAATTATAAAAATCAAATTGACAAAAATTATTTCAACTTCTTTTTTCAATTATCTGTTGGCTAGTTCCAGCTTTTTACCCTTTGCCCATGCTTGGTTATAATTTTGGAAAGAAATCCTTATCGGGAATAAGTTGTTCCACCTCAGGCACAAAATTATACCTCATATATATGCAGGATTAATGGATTTCGAGGATAAGTTAAGCCACGTTACAAAGTAAGAATCAAATGCGGGATAATTTTATACTGGTCTTATTCCAATATCTCTTAACCGTGAAATCAAAACATGGCCCATGCAGATTAGAAGAGTTCTAGGAAATAAGTTATTCGGGTCACAAAATGGCCCATGCAGATTAGAAGAGTTCTAGGAAATAAGTTATTCGGGTCACAAAATGTGAACCGAGGGCAGATAATTTTATTCCTGGATAAAATAGTCCTATCCTATCCCCCACCCCTTATTTGCAAATCAAAACATGGCCTTCAGCAAATACCTTATTTTTACCATTTAAACTACAATTGGAGTTATTTATTTATTTCCGTTTCAATTAATTTGGATTTCCAACATTAACTTTTCTGCAAATTTGACATGATGCAGTTACCTACAAGCGTTTTGTTCCCCTAAATGCCGGGACATACAGATCACTTTGGATGGAAAAAATGGAATTCCTTCTCCAATACCAACCGTTGCAGCAACTAAAGTGATGAAGGAAGAACCGGCGAAGCGAGTGTTTGGCTCTCAAGTCAACAAATACACCATATCCAAATTCAAGTAGTCCATTGAAAGTCTTCATATGTTGATTAACTGCAGAGATACACTGCGCTGCAAGGTTTTTTAAATCAGCTTGCTCTTTTGTATATAATAGAGCTTAGTATCACTCATTTTTCAAAGCTAACATGTCCAAAAACAATAACAACGAGTCTTGTAATGTCCTTTTAATAAATAGACAGTAAGGTGCCTTTAGATATTAGCTACTGTGGTTCGATTTTATTAATTGGTTTGTACATAATTGGTTCTATTAGTATTAACTCCATGATTCTGACATTTATACCTTCTTCTTTTTTTCTTTTTCTTTTTTTTGTGGTAAATTACATTGATTTCGATAGTTTGAGCAGAGTTTCGTTTTGGTCTTGTAGTTTTAATTTCATAAATTTAAACCACACATTTTCAATTTTGTTTCAAATACAAATTGTCCTTTTCCAGCTACAGAGTGGCTTGAAACTCTTGACTGAATGAGAAACTTTACAAGTTCTAGTTTATTCAACAAAATCACTTCTTGACTGTTTAATGTTTTTTAATGTAATCATTTTATATATTTAAGGTGATGAAATTTCCCTTGTGCTCTGCTTGGTTGCAGAAAAACCAGCAGAAGATATTTGTATTAAAAGAGGAGAAAAAAAAGGCAACAAAAACTTATAATCTATCAATTTGGTGTTAGCACAGGCTTCAAGCTTTTTTTTAGACATAGCTTTTTGATAGATTTTATTAAGGGGAAAAAAAAAAAAAAAAAGCTGACTCTGAAGCCGTGTCCAAGTGAGGCCTAAGTGAATTTGTCAAATAGAGGAGAGTTTGGCCACACATGAGGAGTGTGTTGACAATATATAAATAATAAAGTTATTCAATGAAATCTAAGAGGAGAGTCTCTGTCCACGCATGAAGGACTTAGTGCCCTTGCGGCCGCTAGGCAAAGCTAGTCCTGGGCCTAATTACTCTACGCTGGTCCCAGCAATACAGGGGTGTATTGATTTCCAACTACCAAAATGTGTTGGGACTTCGAAGTTCTATTTCTTTTTTTCTTTTTCTGAAGAAGCAAATGAGTGCTACTTTCATTTTTGTTTTTTTTCTGCATATGTCACAAAGTAGAAATAGACATCTCTTAGAAAAAGAAAAAGAGTTTCTAAATCATGACTACCCATTATATCTATACCCCTCTGCAAGATCTGTTCTTGTTGAACTATGCTCTGCTTTTTGGTTAGCTGTCTACCTCACCGTTAAAAAAGCGAACAACAATATTGGGCATGTGAGAGATGGTCAAGAAAAAATCTTTTTTCAGTAAAAATCATTAGAAGCAAGTAAGCAACAGAGAATAAAAGAAGCTGCAGATGTTTATGATGCACACCAGCAATCCATATTCTTTCTATCACATTGGTTATAAGTAGTAGTACCCATCATGGCTTCACTTCTTTTTGTTTAAAAAAAGAAAAATGCTTGGGAGCATTAATTAGTGCTCCCACTAATTAGGTGGCAGTGGGTCCCGCCATTAATGATGTGATGTTTTGGTCTTGCTTAAAACTGATGGTCATTCTTCATTTCTTCTTTTTGTTTTTAAAAAAAAAAAAAAAGGGTTACCCATTCGCCATCTTTCATCTTTCTTTTGAACTTGCGCACGGGTGGTCTAGTGGTTAATGAGTTGAATACGGAAGGTTTATACTTTCATCTTTCTGTCAAGAAAGCTTTCTTTCCGAACATGAAGAACGAAATAGTTAAAGTCTGCCTTTGTTCGGCCACCAGTTGGTGTTTGCTTCAGTTCATGCTTTTCGCAGTTCAAATTGTATTTCGTTAAAGATTTCGAAGTAAAGTCAATTTTCTAATGCTGTGTTTGTTCTGAAAAAAAAAAATTTGGGGAAATATTTTTACATTTTCTAGCGTTAAGTTCAATAGAAAACAAAAGTCGACAAAATGAACTAATTTGAGTGAAAACTGTTTTTTAACCTTTATGGGAAAAAATTTCGAAGTAGAGTCTTACTAACATCACCACCATTATAACCATCACCACCATCTTCATCCTACCATCACACCCACCACCCTATCACCACCCTGCCACCATAACTGCCTGCAGCTCCTGTCCGAAAGGGAAAGACATGAACTCTGATTGGTTTTAGAAAGGAAATTAAGATCTAAACATTGGAGTGCAATCAAATAAATCAACTGCAATTTGCAGAATGATAGATTTTAACCGATAAAAGAGGAAACAGAAAAGACTATTATATATTTTCACATATTTTTAAAATGCTTTTCATGTCGATCACAATGTGAATGAAGTATCATCTATACCTGCTATCTACTCACTTCAAATTGGTCTTGTGATATTTTTCAGATATTTGTGACATGTTGTGTGACATTTATCTGTTTTTCACACTTAACAGTGCTTGCAGACATGTAATAGCCCAAGCAAAAAAAAAAAAAAAAAAAAAAGAGCACAGCTTCTCTCCAATTCAGACTGTCAGCATTTTATATACTATACATATTTTTGAAAATCAAAGGCCTAAATTTGTCTACTCATTCACAAAATCCATCGATTCCTTCAATATTGGGCCAGACCCTTTGGTCATATTCAAATCTGAGTTTGTGCGTAGTGATCAAATCTAAACCGTTGATTGGTAAAAAAATGTTGACATGACAAACATCTAATACTCGGGACTGGACTCTCCAATTCAAGATCCGAACTGGAGAGAAGCTGTGTTGCCTCTACTACTGACTACTCTTTGGCACTCGAGACAAAAAGTGAATATAATGGTACAAAAAAAGGAAAGGAGAGTAATGTGTTGTTTGGTTTGTTTTTCAAAAAAAATTTTGAGAAAAATTCTCTACAAACAAATCTTCAAGAGTAATCAAACCAAATAAATTTTTCTAAAAAAATCTCAAAATTTTGTTTGGTTACTTACTTTCCAAAATTACTCTCTCTCTCATACGCATCAAATCAATCACTTTTTTTAAAACTCTCTCCCCAAAACAATTTTCCCAAACCATTTCTGAAAAAAGACAAACCAAACAAGTTTTCATACTTTTTTTTTTTTATCTCAAAAAAGTACTTTACAAACACAAACAAACAAACCTCTCCAAAAGAGTTCCTCAATAATGGCTTCCCTCCCAATACACCTGCCAAGTCTGTGATACACATTATTGTCTTTTGCTTTTGTAGTTTTGTTTTTCAACGTCACAGAAAAAGAAAAGCAAACCAAGTGTGATGGTGAGACAATCAAGAAGACCACCTTTTTACAGTAAAATCATAGGCAACAACAGAACAAATGACTTTTATGTATTAACTTCAATTTTGTATCTTTCTATATATCAATCATTGTATATACATCACTTCTTTACTTCTCATCCCTTGATCTAAAAACAAAAAGGCAACATACAAATGAAATAATTATTTTCACCATCTATTTTGCTTTCTCAAACAAATAAAGAATCTCAACAAAAAAAAAAAAAAAACTAATCCTGATTTACCCACTTGGAAGTGCTTGATTGGTTTGAGTTCATCCTGCAAAACAAAAATAGTATATTCGATAATTAGGATTCCTTTGGCACCAGCTTATTAACTGACTTTTACTATATAAACAAATCCCAAAAAAAAAATTATTGAAGACGAAAATAAGCCAAATTTTATCCCCAAAAAAACCCCTTAAAAGTTAGCTTATGTTTGTCTTTTCTCAAATTTTTTCTAGGACTTGACACAATATTTTGGCTCAAAGTCAAAAAAGAGTTCACTAAAGACAAAACTAAGCCCTAAAACTAGCACAACTTACAAGCTGATGTTTTTATGTGTTTAATAGAGAGGGTTTGAATAATATACCTAAAGGTATGCAGAAGAAAATTTCTTGTCCCGAACATTAGCACACCACGAAGTAGGAATATTGTAATCAGCTAATTCAATTGTAATTGTTGGTCAATGAACAAATCGCGATGAATAAGTACACCAAATCGGGGTCATGTGAAGTTAGTCTGCAAATTTGCAAATATATAAACCTGGTAAGAGAAAGTAAGAGGGATAAAATTAGACACAAAAGCAATGAAATTCGGATTAAGAAAAAATGAAAAAGAGAAAGACCAACTTTTTTGGGGTAGTGGGCAACAGACATGTCTGCATCATCCTTGAAGGCTGAATATCTTCAAAACAATTCCTGCTTGCAAGAGGGGACCAAGAAACACATAAGGATAGGAACAATACATTCGAGAGATTGGTCAAGGATTCTTTTGAAGGGAAACAAAATGCAATTTACAGAATACTTTCAGACAATATGCCAAGTACATATTCTCTCCTTGTGAGATACTGCGTTATAGGTATCCCCATTGTTCTAAATCAATGGAGCAAGAGGCCTAAACTAAGTGAGCATATTCAATTTGTGTGCATTTTACCACCCAAAATGCAAAATGAGGGTTAAAATAAAATAAAAACCCCAAATAGGGGATTAACAGACTAATTGAGGACATAATGCATACTTGGATGTTTTAGAAGTAGAGAAATTTCTCAGGATATTTGAGTCTCGTTAAAGCACATATGAGTAACTCAATTATGAGAAAATAGCTAGTGTTTGCGATTATATTAGCTTACCTAATGTGGAAACAAATCAATTAGAGGCTAATGTGAAGCATCTACGAGCATATTTGCAGAGTCCTTCGGAGAGAGAGATAAAGGAAATAGTCAGAAAGGGGAACATAAGTTTAATGAAAGCATGAAAACTTAAAGTGTATGTTTGCTCAGATAGAGACATAGAGAGAGAAAACATACCCGAATGTGATACCTATCGGTTCTCCCCATCTTTCAGAAAAAGCACAGTTCGGTGTATCCATTGGAGTATGATAACAGCTCCTCCACCTCAATTCTGGAATTAGAACAACTCATGGTTTTCCTAAATCGACCTTGGTAGGACTCAACCTCGGCCCAAAATATGCTATAAACCGGTCTATGATCTGAGAACCTAGATTCTCCACGGACATAGGACACTTGTTGAAGGCCCCCTCCATACCACAAGATTCGATCACACCTTAACACATGAAAATTAGCGAGATCAGTCCCTTGACTAGAAAGAATTTAAAATTCTTTCCCCCAGAATACTAATAATAATAAACACAATAGACACACACCGGTATGTTCTTAATTATTGTCACTGAGGTGTACATATGAAAATTCCGTGTTCTTACCATGCAGGTGTTCTTCGTTTTTCCTTTGGGTGCATATCATCCCCTGCATATCTATCTGAATTATTTGAGTACTTGTATGTTGGTGGGAAATATATCTTTCCTTCGTTCCATCCATGGAAAACACGCCCCCGTCTCTGCTCTATCCGTAGCTGCTGACAAAAAGCATTGTTGATTTAGATGAAAGTTATTGTAGCAAGTACAAAGTATTTTGACAGAGAGAAAATATAGGAGTCGGGCAAGAATATATGTATCATGCCTGGTCCTTCTCTAACAATGCCCTCCAATTTTGCATCTCAACAAGTGCCTTAGCAGACCGGAAAGACATGGCAATTCGATAATTCAGATCCCCGAGCCAAATAATTCGACTAGATCAAATCAAAATAGATACAATTAGAATATTGAAAGTATAAACTGATAACTCAAATTGCCAAAGGTAAACATATACATGCTTTTCAGCATAAATGGTCTAATTTCCATGGGAGACTCAGAAATATTATAAATAAAAGCTAATATTACTGCTATGACAGGCTCGTTGAAATAATTTTATTCTGTGTTGATTAAAATATGTTTCATTTTCCTTTTTATTTTATTGTCTTCCATAAGTAATGACAAGTTAACTGACAATAGCAAGGCAAGAGTATTACTCATGTTCAAGGATTGTTTCTGGGGACTTCTCATCACCCATGCTATGGACTCCTGGAAACCTCGTCTTCCTTAGAATCTCCATGACATCAGAATTCCTACGTAGCTCATCCCCCTCCTTCTGTCCTGAGGTCAAATGACTACAGACAAAACAAAAGCTCGTTTGATGTAACAACATGCTGACTGAAATGGATCCCTGCAAAACCAAGCGTTTAGTTTGTTAATCCAAATTTGATTATACAAAAATAATAAAGAATACTGCGATTCACTCAAAAGGGTACCTTATTTCCAAGGTAGCCCATCAATCCTCTGCCAACACAAGATACTTTCATGTTGCGAACGTGTTCCCTCAGATCACTCTTAACCCATATTGTGAGATAAATGCCAACCATTTGCTTACTCGCAACCAAGCAGTACCTTGGATGCCCCGGCACTCTATACCCATCTTCCATTGGTATAGCATTAGACATTGGTGAGAATAACACAGTGCTAGGTGAATCCCCGGGCCAATAATCATCATCTGATGAACCCCATCTTGAATAGTCACTTGGCCTGTGACCCCATGAATGGTCACTTGGTCTGTGACCCCAGGAAGCATCGCTAGGTCTGTGACTCCACGAAGAGTCACTTGGCCTGTGACTCGATCTGGAATTGGGGTCGTAGTCACTTGGCCTATGACCAAAGATTACCCGATCACAAACACTGTATCGTCGATCAAGCCGGGGCTGTGAGACTGAATCGTTTTCGGTTCCCCAGCTGCACGGTGTCTGGAATGATCGACGGTGGAAGAAGGATGTGTTCTGCCTCATTGATCCCTCAAAATCTGCGTCTGATTCTGCAATTGGGTCGGGGATAGGAGAAGGTGTATAGCACCCACTACCTCCACTAGTTCCAGGAAGATTGTTTAGCGTTTTTTGAATTAAAGAGAACCATTTTCTCGCAGGACCGTTATTTTCAGAACCCAAAATGTTTCCAGCATTCAAAGGAACTATTTCTTGAAATCTAAAGCATCAAAAGGAAAGCACATGCTTCTATTAATAACCAGTTTGTAGCAAATTTCGGTGAAAAAAGGAACGAAGAAATAGCACTAGCAAGTCTTTACCCAAGAACATAAATGTCTGCAGGAGGTGAGGAATGCAGAAAATCATCAAGATTCAAATTACTTGATGGTGATTTTCCGCCCACGTTCCAAGTAGCCACAAAAATGCTGATTGCGGTGGAAAACAAGAATCATTTTATTGTTGACAACAAAGAGATTATCATATAATAGGAAAATTATTTTTGAATTAAGAGAAAAACCTATAGTTCTGCACATTTATAATTTGAGGATGATCAAGATCAGCTCTCCCTCGCCGGGCACGTTCAGTATTCTTGCTTAATTTTTCTGTGCATACCAGTGAGAGAATGATATTACCAATTGTAACATAAAAGGAAAAATTAAATTCTGACTTCCCTGAGAACATAGCTGTCAAGCTTTGGCAAATATATATATATATATATAGAGAGAGAGAGAGAGAGAGAGGTTGAATAATGATACTGAACCTGTTCTGCTTTTCTTAATTGTACATGGCTCCCTCTCTGAGAAGCTATTTCCCCATTCAACATCACCACCTGAAAGACAAAAATCACTATTTATACATCAATTGATTCAATTCAGATCTTAAAACAGAAATTAAAAGCATGAAAAATTGATGAGCTTATTAAATTTAAAGATAGAAAATAGAAGGAGCAGAGCAAGTATATTAGAAAACATAAATTTTGTTTGGCTGCTAAGAAAATGGCACAGAAAGAAAAGAAATCAAAACTGGAATCTAAAGAATTTTTTTACTTTATGGGACCTGAAAGAACAAGAACTTCCATTCAGCTGAGCCTAAAAAAAATAATTGACTCACATGAACTGAATGAAAGAAAAACAACAAAGAGCATTAAATATACTACTATTTTCCCTCAGTTTTCTCAGCAACCAAACTGAGAGTAAGGCCTAAAGATTAAAACTATCAAAACCCTAAATTGATTAAAGAAAATAACAATGGATATCAAATATCAAAGAGGTGAAGAAACATAGAAAGTATAACATGTGCTCACCCCCATAAACAACTTCATCTGCCTGAAACTCCTCGGTTTTGCTCTTGATATTGAATAATTTCCTAACCAGTGATTTTGACCAAGAAAGCTTTGCCAAACAGAAGACAAACAAAATTCAGCAACCCATCAAATTTAAAGAAAGTACAGACATTTAGGAGAGAAATTCCAGGAAAATGAGGGGCTTAGAGGAAAGACCTTGCTTTTCTTTGAATTCCCATCTCTCATTGTTTCACTAATTGCTTTTCTTCATACAGCTCTCCTTCTATTTTTATTCTGGTAATATATCCACAGTTTCTGGGTTTTTCTTAGTATCAGCAAAAACATAAAATCAAATCAAATCCCATTTGAGGAATTCTTATACGCAGCACTCTGGTTTATGGGAATTCCGTCCCAAACAAGGTATTTCTTTTCTCTTTTTTTTTTGTCTCTGAGGGGTACCCTTCAAGCTATTATATAATATATATGTGTGTGCGTGTACCCTGCATGAAAAGATAAAGAAGAAGAAGAAGAAGAGAAGAACGAAGACCCAAAACCCAGTGGAATTAGAAACACAAATGAGACTACGCTGTTAAGAACGAAACTATGCGGCAAACAGAGAGAGAGAGAGAGAGATTTCAATCTTTATACAGAAAAATTAATTTGCCCCTCGTGTCAATTTATCTTATAAAATATTAATTAAAAAATTATTTTTTAATAATTTTAAAGAAATACCACAATGCACACAAAATATTTTTTCTACACGTGATTCACTTAATTTAAATTCAGAGATGATAGTTTGCTACAATTAACTATATTTTATGTTTTATGTAACATTTTTAAATAATTTGTTGTTGTATTTTGTTGTTTGAATTTTTATATATTAGTGTTTATCAATTTATTATGGAAGAAAAAGTGAATCAGTATCATCAATTAATCACTTGTGTGCAGATATACTCCCCCGTCTAAAAATAATAGTCTCTTTTGAAAAATTTAGGTTGTATTTGATAGATCTTTCTAAATATGATTTGAGAATATGAGTTGTATTTTGAGTTTGTGAATTTTGAAATTATGATTTGAGTGTGAAAAATTTGTTTGGTCAAAGAGTTTTGAATTGAGTAAGAAATTTTTAATGTAACATATGATATTTGATACAAAAACTTACAACTTATAACCAAACATACAACTCAAAATTCTATTAAAGCACATAAAAAAAGTTTAAAAATTCAGAAAATATTTTTTTCGAATATATAAAAATTAACATATGTCAATTGCAAAATATATATATATATATATATATATATTTGCACTGTTCTAATCAACTGGTCGGACGATCGGTTAGGCCAAATTTAAAAAAAAAAAAATTTGAAAATCGCGCCTCACACAGAGTTTTCTGCAGAGTTTTCTAAATGTTGTGAAAATATAGTTTAAGCATCATATCCAAATATCATATTAGAATGTGTGGGTAGAATCATAGTTTGGAAATCGTTCTAAACAGAGCCTTAATTTTTTTAATAGTACAATTATTACACTTTAAAAAAATTAATTTTTTAAAATTACTCTTTAATAGTATATTTTTTGGGAAATATTAATTGTTATAATTGTACTTTTGGTGTTGTTAATGAATTTAAAAGAAGAATAAAATAAAAAATTCATATTGTTTTAGTTCTTAATTTTTTAAAAGGGAATAATATTTTGAGACAATGAAAAATAAAATAAGGATTAATGTTTTGGGACGAAAGGAATATTAATTTTGTTAATGATTTGAGATAAAATGAACTAATATCAATAATTTAAAATAATTATTCAAATTAATAGATCAAGGATAAAGTGATATATAGGGTTTGTTTGGGATGTAAGTTGACTTTTTGGCATTTTAATTTTTTTTTGCTATTTTAACTTGGGTTAAAAAGCCTCATTTGTAATGGGCTTTTTGATTTTTTTAAACTTTTGTGAGGAAAAAATGAAATGATTATGGTTTAAATGTAATATTTTATATTATTAATTTTTTAACATATTTTATCATTTTGTGACTATTTTAGCCCAAGATTGGAATGCCAAACGAAGGCATAAATGTAATAATTTGAAAGACGAAAATGAATTTTTATTTTCTTGAAACACAAACCTCATTATAAGCTAACATTATATTGGTGGGTTTGAAATTTGGTTACTTAGGGTCATTTGGGAACATGAATAAAAAATTAAAAGTCAATTTTTAATCTATTTTAAATCACGTCATTTCTTACATAAAAAAAAGTTAAAAAACTTGAAAAATTAATTTTTAACCATCTTTTCAAAACACCTTTTAATTTTTTGATTTTTTACAAAAAAAAATAAAAAAATATTGCAAAAATTTATAACAAATTATAAGTTATTTAGATTGTTGTCAAACCACTCTCAATACAACATATGGTAATATCACAATATTAACGCTACACTTATTGCATCTCTATATGATATTATACTTATCATATTAGTTGTTAATATAATATTAATGTAATATGTCTCACTATTAATTAAAATGGCTAATCTTTATAATATTACACAAGTCCTATTCACATTTTCACTCTTGATTTTTGTGAGAATGGAGATCAAGGCTGGGGATGTGTTTATGAGGTTATCACGTCAATGAAACTGTCACACTGAATAACTGCCCCGTTATAAGGAAGCAGGCTAAACAGCAATTTGAACAGAATAAAGTGAAAAAGTCTCTCCCTCTCTCTCTGAATCACTGACTTCTCTCTAACCCAAAATCCAAGGCCGGCCCAACATGATGGGGGCAACGGTCATGTCGTTTTGGTTCAAATCATAAAACAAAACGACTCGGTCAGCTCAGGAAACATCTGCCCGATGGTCAGCAAAAGTGCAGGGTCTGATGAGATCTCATATAGCCTCTTTAGCCTGCAATTTTTCTTGCCATTTTGGTCTCCCATCAAAGTTAAAGCAGCTATAAAATAAATATATAAAGATAAAAGAGAATGTGTGTAGGAGTGGTAATAGTATTTATTCTTGGATTGTGCTTTGTTTTGCAAGGAATGTTTCGATAAGGAATTGTCAATTGTTTATAGAATGAGATATGATTCTCTTATAAATTATAATTGAATTGTCAATTGTAAATATTTCTTGTTTAGTTTTGTGGTATTTGTCTGATTTCTATGTCTTCTTTTTGTTTTTGTTTTTGTTTTTTTTGGTAAATTAGAACTGATAGATAGATTAAATTGAATAGTTGAAAGTTTTAGAATAACTAGTCTCACATGCTTCATTATACAGTTGATTAATAATACACAGACATCTCTATTTATAATGTGTCTATACTCAATTTTTGTGTTCTCAAACTCATTTTTTATTCTTAAGCAAAATTCCCTAACTTCAAGTTCAACTTTTCTAACTTACATTTGTCTCTTTATCTCATCATTCATTTTATTTAAATTAAAAATTAAGGCGTCATTTAGGAGCAGACTTTTTTAATAACTTTTAAATTTAAAAAAAAAAAAACTAGTATATTTTAGACGACTTTTAGTTTTTTACGAAAAGATATACAAAAAGTAGATAGAAAAAGAATCTTTGATTTTTTTGTATAAGTTGGCTTTTTAATTTTTTTAACAACTTTTTAACTTTTAAACTAAAAGTAATATTACCAAACGAGACTTAATTAATTATCAAATTTTCATAGTATAATAAATAATTTTTAAAACATGAATCTGGTGTCATTTTAATCTGTTTCTCCCACGCCGACTGTGCCCGCCCCTTTGGAATTGGGGACATGCTACAGTCCAACCGTTGGCATTGTCTAGTTAAATGTCACCATACTTTAAGGGCATGTTTGTTTGGGTGGACATGAGCTTGGGATTGGACTAATAGTCCAATAAAATTATTAATCCGATGTTTGGTTAAACAATTGAAGTACGGATTAATTATTTTAAACTTGACTATTAGTTAAGACAGGATACATAATCCAACGAATTCGTAGTCTTAGGACTATTAGTCATGAGAATGCTAATCCAGTCCGCCCAAACAAACATGACCTAAATAAATAAATAAACACATGATATATATATTTATTTGTATGAGCTCTATGAGTATGGGTTACTGTTGACTGGTCATAATACATATTCACACACCATGAGGGAGTCTGTCTGCAAATATTGGCTCACTCTCCTGGTCTACCTTCATGACTATAGGGCTTTTAACAAGTTGATTAGTACAATACAATGTTTATATTTATATATAATATGTTTTTAATAAGGAGTTAATTTATTTATTTATTTAATTCAGCTGACGGCGGTTGTTGAAGCTCTGGTCCCATGCGACGACGTTGTACATCCACAAATGGAATTTTTTAACAAATTTCTTAAACCCTCCACCAACCCAAAGTGTACCTTCCACTATAATGAGAAGCCATTTAAATTGGGTCCCCAAATTTGTGATCATTAAGGCTTGTCTAAGGTCATTTGTGTTGTCTTCCTCCTCAAATAGCCCTTAGTGGGTGGAAACACCATCTTTGTCAAATTTAAAAGTAGATTGGGTTTGAATTTTAAACTTATGAAAAGATTTATAAGGGAAAAAAATAGAAAAGAGATTTGTTGCAAAATAAATAAAAATGAACATTGATTAATTATAAGAAATTAATGAAGTGATGACTTGTATAAAAGAAAAAAAAAAAACCGAAAAGAGAAATGGGAATATATGGCAAATCATGAATATCTAAAGCTCTATTTGTTTAGAAAGAAATGAATGATAGAAAATGAAAATGGTAGAAAGCGAAGTGAAAGAAAGGAAAAAGAATTGAAAATTTATTTTCTTGCAAACATTTGAATAGATGAAAATTTTTGTAAGAAAATGATGAAAAAAATATAATCATTGCATAACAAGGAGTTGTAAAAAGAAATAAGGTCAAAAAGGGAAACAAAATAAACCTTGTCAAGATTTGTGAGAAAAATAAATTTTCTTGTATATTTTGCAAGAAATTGTTAGCCTAACTAAAAAGTAGTTAATTTGAGTTGTATAAGAAATTTTAGTTTCTTTTACTTTCTAAGATTTTCTATCTAAACAAACATATAATTTTTTTTTCTTTCCCTTTCCTCTATTATATATCTAACCAAATTGAGCCTAAAGGGCAAAAGAAGTGGTCCTACAAGATGAATTTAGTTTATTTTCTTTCCAATTTGGCAACCTTGGAGCAGCATTTCCATGGAATATGGCATCTAGAGGAAATCAATAATAATGTTTCTTTGATTCAATGAGGTCATGATGAAAAAGGTGGTGTTTGGGAGCATTTTCTTTATTTTCCTCACTCTAACAAAGGGCAAACACTGATGTAGAATGCTTGTTCATTGATGCTTCTTCAATGCGAATAAGTGGGAATCTAATACATCATCATCAATAAAATTGCATGTTCGATATCATGTATGGCCAGAAAGTTGAAAATATTAGAAAACAAAATGCGTATGAAAAATTATTTTATTTTCCTTACTCTTACTTTATTTTGCTAAATTATTATATTGAAGATTATGTTAGCATTGCATGAATATGTATAAGAACATCAATGACATAAGATACCCTAATGATCTAACTTATACAAAAAAAATTTAATGACAAAGAACCCTAAGATTTGATTGATTTAATAGT